TGCCCATGAATGCTGCATATTTCAATGAAGAATTTTAGGTGTTCATTAGGAGGCATCCATCATGATTGTTTTAGGTTTACTCACTCCCGTGGTTCTTCATTAGCCTCCTGGAAATCATGCATCCAACTGAAAGTGTTGTGCATTAAAGCCATAGGAATGCATGCTTGACGGGGCATCCATATACGAATGACTGGCAAAGGCGAAGGCCCCCGAGTTTGCACTCAGAAGCATTAATCTTGGAGGTAGTTTCACAATGACTGGCATTAGCATCATTTCTCTCTAACATTGATTGATTCTTGTATGGCAAATCTACTACTACTACTGTGATTATGCCAAGTCCAATGCTTGATTAGTTTTTCTCCTCTAATGTTTTGCCAATCTCATGCTTGGGATGGAGGGGGATGCTATGACAAATTAATGTACTACTGTATCATAATCTCATAGAGTTAGTTATGCAAGGTTGTTACTGTTAGCTGCCAACTTTTCATGAACTCCAACAGAGAATATGAAAGGCTGGCAATGTGAGAGTTGTTTCTTCATCCATTGGACTCAAGAGATTGTCGGACATTTTCATGGTCTTGAACAATGAACATGGATACACAGCAAATCATACGTAACGCAATGAACAAGAAATTCAAGTAATCAACATAGGAAGCAACAAGCATTGGCATTGAAGAATTGAAACAAGAAATTCAATTCGTAACAAGAACTTCAAGTAATCAACAGAGGTTCCACTTTTAATACTACCATCCGTAACAAACATTGACATTGAAGAACTGAAACAAGAACTTCACAGGGCACACTACTAGAAAAAGGGCTATAGCACACCATTCTAAAGACACCATTTGCTATCCGTGTCGATGTAAAAAAGAATACCACTGTTGTTTTTTTTTGGTGTCTTTTAAGCTGAGGTTGGTGGCTTTTAAGTTGAGAGCCACCGATGTAAAAAAGAATACCACTGTTGTTTGTTACAGATGGTAGTATTAAAAGTGGAACCTCTGTTGATTACTTGAAGTTCTTGTTACGAATTGAATTTCTTGTTTCAATTCTTCAATGCCAATGCTTGTTGCTTCCTATGTTGATTACTTGAATTTCTTGTTCCTTTCGTTACGTATGATTTGCTGTGTATCCATGTTCATTGTACAAGACCATGAAAATGTCCGACAATCTCTTGAGTCCAATGGATGAAGAAACAACTCTCACATTGCCAGCCTTTCATATTCTCTGTTGGAGTTCATGAAAAGTTGGCAGCTAACAGTAACAGCCTTGCTTAACTAACTCTATGAGATTATGATACAGTAGTACATTAATTTGTCATAGCATCCCCCTCCATCCCAAGCATGAGATTGGCAAAACATTAGAGGAGAAAAACTAATCAAGCATTGGACTTGGCATAATCACAGTAGTAGTAGTAGATTTGCCATACAAGAATCAATCAATGTTAGAGAAATTATGCTAATGCCAGTCATTGTGAAACTACCTCCAAGATTAATGCTTCTGAGTGCAAACTCGGGGCCTTCGCCTTTGCCAGTCATTCGCATATGGATGCTCCGTCAAGCATGCATTCCTATGGCTTTAATTCACAACACTATTAGTTGGATGCATGATTTCCAGGAGGCCAATGAAGAACTAGTGGAGTGAGTAAAACTAAACAATCATGATGGATGCCTCCTAATGAACACCTAAAATTCTTCATTGAATATGCAGCATTCATGGACAATATGCAATCATCATGTTTGACGTTACCGCTAGGTCGACATACAAGAATGTCCCTACATGGCACCATGATTTCTGTCGGTGAGTTGGCTAAATTATTTTTGTGTCAAGTCTAATGTTTCTTTATTTTTTTTATTTTTTTATTTTTTTACATTAGTTGGTGATCGTTTGGTATATTTGATTCCTCACATTAGTATTTCAGTGTGTGCTAGAACATCCCTATTGTTCTCTGTGGCAACAAGGTTGATGTGAAGAACAGGCAGGTTAAAGCCAAGCAGGTTACCTTCCACATAATGAAGAATCTGCAGTACTATCAGATATCAGCAAGAGCAACTACAACTTTGAGAAACCCTTCATCTACTTGGCGAGGAAGGGTGGGTGGAACTAAATGTGGGGGGAGCCATAAGGACAACGGATGGGAGAGGAGGTGCAATTCCATTCTTCTCGGATTCAGAAGAGCTCAACTTTTGTGAGGGATTGAGTTGCTTCCTTACAACTCCCATCAGAATTCAAATTTCATAGTTCTTTGAGATTAACTAAATAAGAAAATTTACAAATTCTTAAAAATAAAATTCAATCATTTATATTCCGTCACTTTTGAATTCTTTAGTAATCATAAATGTCTTCGTCTAAACACGGTGTAGAGAAAAGTTTACCAATTTGAGAAAGTTTTGTTTCATAAATGATGAACATGAAACGGCAGCTTTCGTCCTTTCTTCTCAATTTGGTTCCTGGGAACATTGATTCAACGGCCTGAAATATTTGAGCAGTGATCTTCCTATTGGACAAGTTCATCCGTAGGTTTAAATCATGATAAGTTAATTTGCACCAATTTAAGCGTGAAGTAGTAAACATTGAAATTTAAAAGTCAGGTGGTATAATATGCAAAAATTGAAACTTGTCGGTCATTTTACAAATCACCCCAAACCCTTGTGCTATAAAATGCATTCAACCCAAAAAAAAAAATTGTAAGTCAGAAATTGCCGAACCCAATATCGTTCGGTCGCGCGAGCTAAGGTTCTCTCTCCCTCTCCCTCTCCAACAGCCTCCAGTTACGACGCCGTTGAACGAGATCAATGCGAACGTCCAGATGCAGAACCCTAATGGTATAATTTGTGATTATCTAGAATTTTTCCATTTTTTATAGTTGTTAATTTACGCTCCAACACCCTAATGCCGAACCCTAACTCGATTTCTATCGCTCTCCTGTCTATCTCCTCTATTCTCTCTCAGACGAAGCCGTGTTCGACGAAGCAACCATGGTCGATGATGGTATGCTTTTGATTCTCCATTTGGCTAATTTTCAATTCAGTATTATAATCTTTGGTTAGATATGTTATTGTCTTATAGAAACCACGCTAAGAAAGGGTATGGGTATACGACAATGTGGGTGAGAAAATCAGTTTTAGATCAAGGTTTGGTTTTGTTGGGGTTTTGCTAAAATAATTAGCTAATCTGCTCTTAAAGAGTCTCCTGGAGATGCTTTATATTTGAAAAGAGTTATTTAAATTTCCGAAACCCAGTGTCCGCTATCTCTCGCTTATGGCTATATGAATCACGGCTATATGAATCACAATTACGCCCTGCCTCTCACCACCCCACCTCTTATATATCGCTCTCTCTCTCTCTCTCTTTCTCACAGATGAAGTAATGGGCAAATCTAAAGCTACCCTCCAACCAAAACCAAGTTGGTTCGATGATGATGATGACTGCATTGGCCAAAATCGTAACGGTATGCTTTGATTTTTGTTTTAGTATTAAATCCTCATTTTCTCCCTAACGAATATGAATATGAATGCATCTATGATTCTTAATAGTCCTTTGTTTAGTGTCTTTGTAGTGTAGTTGCACTACTTTTCTAGTGCTTGAGTAGTTAATGTGTGGTCTTGTTCTAGTGTATTTCTAGGGTATTCGCACTATTTTTTTGTTCTTCAGTAGTTAATAGTTGGCTAACTGAGTAGAATTCGCAGCAAAAGTGTCTGTCATTGTTGTAATTTTCTCTTAGCTTTTGGGTATGCGTGCACTTCCTTGGTTTTGCTTTTTCCATTAGGCTTTTCAAGTTAGGTGGCATGGCTTTGCAATCTCCTAACGTGTTTCTAGGGGATGTCCTGTACCAAAAGCGTTTATAAGCCTAAGTACTCCTTAGAAAAGTTGTCCCCATAAGGGCTTGATGTTTTACAACTCAATTTAGTTTAGACATGTATTCATGTTTTTGTAGCAAGAAAAAGTGTTACTGATTGCTATTAATATTCTTATTTTGTATTCTAAACTTTAAACAAGCAGATGAAGAGGAAGGTATACAAGAGGCGATTGGAGACCCAATGGCTAGACTCCAACTGCGAAAAAAGCGTAATTACTATGAAGTTTGTTGTGAGTAAGTTGAGGATCACAAAAGTCACAATTGCCCGTACTTTGTTTTGGTCTCGAAGGGCGCTCGTGTTGGCGAACACTGTGATATAGTTTGCACAGAATGTGGTGAGGAAGTTTCCAAGCACGAAGGTGAGCTTAACGTGAACTATGAAGGACGTGCTATTTTGAAGTACTGTGATTGGTGTGAGGATTACCGTAGCCACTGGACTGAAGAATGCGAGTCCATGCCAAAATAGCGAGTAGGTCCGGACTTTTTCTTGGTGAGTAACTAGTGGTAAGTTTGTTGGGACTGAGGTGCTGCTGGATAAAGACGACTGGTTCTTGTAGTCGGAGGAAGATTGAGTCCCTGTAGTTGATATGGTGTTATTTGCAGCAGATGGTTCTGTATATATAAAGAAGGCAACCCTACCTTTTTTTAACTTGTTTCATTGCCCTTATCATTGCTTATGAATTTTTGTGCTAGTAAATTAAATGGTTGTTATGATGACATTATGATGCTCTCAAACTCAATTACTAATTAACTGATCATGACTCTTTAGTTTTTGTGGCATTTCTTGGCAATCCATGGGTAAATCGGATGTGTCATTGTAAGTTTTGCCTGTTTCATTGGAGCGATAAACTTTTTTTATGAGACAATTGAGTAGGCAACATTTTACGTTAGCATTTATAGTACGATTTTGCCCACTTTAATTTTCCTAATACCATTAAAGCACTACTACAAAAAAGGCTATCACTGGTGGTGTAAAAACCGACAATAAAACCCAATTATTGTCTGATTTTTGTAAAAATTCGACATAAAGTTGTGCAATGTCGGATAGGTGAAGCGACACCATTGCTACCGTCACCAAAAGGTTATTGACGTCGGTTAGTCCCTTTAATCCGCCACCAAGAAGCAAAGTAATATAAAATAAAAAAGAACAACAGTGTCGCTTAAAAGCGACATCCAACATTACGTCGATTAGAAGCGACGTTAAGTTTTGACATGATGGCGGTTCTAAGCGACGTCAAGCAACAATTAAAGAATTAAAATATCAAACCTACTATCGGTCCTAACCGACATCAACAGTTAAAATAATAAATTAATCAAACATACTGTCGGTTATAACCGACATTACCTAACATCTAGATACATAAAATATTTCTTGTGCTATGGTCCATAAGCGACACCAAATATTTTAATAATAAAAAAAAAAAAGAGGAAGTCCGGGCGAGTGATAAGAGAAGCACCCAGGGAGAAGTACCTCGTCGGAGCTGAGGTGTTCAGAGATCAGGAGAGCAGAGCCTACTCTGCCAAAAACACCATCACCAGCGCCGTTGTCACGCTTAAACGGTACAAACTCTGCGACACGATGGTAAACTGTCGGTTGAGAAAGAGGTCTCCTTGGGAGATCTGCCATTTCTACAGTTATCTTCTGGGCGTTGCTGCAGGCATATACAAAAGGGCTTCAGATACACATCCCCACACATTTAGAATCTACTATACCATTGAATTGATAATCAACAACGGAATTCCAGTTTCTAGACTCCGAACATAGAGTACAAGAAGAGCTCTCAGACATTACAGAGTAATCACATATGTTAAATAGTATTTCACAACAATGTATACATGTATATTTCAATAATAATTACAGCTACTAGAAACAAGTAACAATGAAGGGTGGGAGGGGTTTTGATAGTTGAAGAAGATAAATACTCGTTAAAAGTAATTTGGGGTGTATTTATAAATTTTTTATTTTTATTTTTAAATCTAATAAGGTCAAAATTAGAGTAATAAGTCATTTAATATCAAATTTTAATGTGCAGGTGCTAGAATAAAAAACCATAAAAAATTACATAAACAATTACCGTGTAATTTTCCGCCAGTGTTACCATCTTCCAAAGCGGCCATTAACAACGCAAAGGCAACTTCCTCCTTTACGTCGTCTATGGAAACGCCGCTACCGCGTCTAGCCATCCCTTCTTCATATGCTTTTCTAGCACAAACCCTACCAGAGCCCATAGTATCAAATGTCTCGATCTTGCGTTGAAATCCTCTGCCGCTTCTCGAACCATTGTCATAGTGATAGCCAAGGGAGTATAATATGGGATGCTGCTGCAACATGCTAAAATTGGTTAGATACGGATTTAAGGTTTATGGCTAAATTATATGGTTCAACATATTTGAAGTCGATAATTACCCCTCCCTCGATTCCCCCAAGGAAGCACATATGTTAAATAGTATTTCACAACAATGTATATATGTATATTTCAATAATAATTACAGCTACTAGAAACAAGTAACAAATTAGGAAGTGGAACATTAACAACTTACTTCTTCACCGGGTATTACAATTTCCCACACTCAAATTAATAAATAAACATACTCCCACAATTCAACTTTTTATCAAACTTTAATCAGATAAATAAAATTATTGCCAAAGAACTTGTTAACTCACCTTCAAACCATTCGCAATTTCCATCTTCTCCTCCATAGTTAATTCTTTCCACCCCTTGACTGTCAATGGAGCGCTACTTGATCTTTAATTACATCAAGCAAAAAAAATCATTAGTATTAAAATAAAAAAACCGAACAATAAATGTTTCAATCACTTACCCCTTGCATGTAAACTCATGGTTGAGGCTGACGAGGTTTTCTGGTTGCAAACGTTTTTGTTGTGGTGATGGACTTGAACCAGCTCCGGCCTCATCACACCCATTGCCGAACAATCCCTAACAAGTTCTCATCAAAATTTCTCGAAGTTTCAATTTTTGAACCAACAAAAGCTAAACATTAACAAAAAAGTATCAACAACCAAATAATATCAACCCAATCAAAAACCATAAAACCCAGAATTCCAATTACCATATTACGCATCAAAATCGCCCACCCAGGCTCCAATTAGTCCTTATCGACAAGGGACAACATCCCAACGTCGTACTCAAGACCGTCGGAGGTCCAACTCCGGCAGGCTTGGCCGGGGTCACCGTTTATTAGATCAGAAATTGAGGAAATTCGGCCACGAATTTGTAGAAACTAACTTGGGGATTGGAAAGAGGATGGGAAGAGGATTATGGAGGTATCATATGACGGTCATTGGCGACCGGTGGACGGTGGCGCTGTCTCGTGAGAAGAGGGGGGGAGAGGATACGGGAGGGAGGAGAGATTGAATGGGGAAGGGAGGGGGGACAGAATGAAGGGGAGGAGTTTGTCGTTTGTTAAAGGGGAGAGAACATTAATAGCATTTTGTTTTCAGTTTTTTTTTTTTTTTTTTAAATTGTATTTTGCAAGAAAGGGTTAGCTAAGCACCGATCATCGGTGGCTCTCAACTTAAAGGCCACCAACCTCAGCTTAAACGACACCAAAAATAAACAAAGTGGTATTCTTTTTTACATCGACACGGATAGCAAATGGTGTCTTGTCTTTACAATGGTGTCCTATAGCCCTTTTTCTAGTAGCGTGGCCCTGTGAGTTCTTGTTTCAGTTCTTCAATGCCAATGTTTGTTACGGATGGTAGTAATAAAAGTGGAACCTCTGTTGATTACTTGAAGTTCTTGTTATGAATTGAATTTCTTGTTTCAATTCTTCAATGCCAATGCTTGTTGCTCCCTTTGTTGATTACTTGAATTTCTTGTTCCTTTTGTTACGTATGATTTGTTGTGTTTGCATGTTCATTGTACAAGACCATGAAAATGTCCAACAATCTCTTGAGTCCCATGGATGAAGAAACAACTCTCACATTGCCAGCCTTTCATATTCTCTGTTGCAGTTCATGAAAAGTTGGCAGCTAACAGTAACAGCCTTGCTTAACAAACTCTATGAGATTATGATCCAATAGTACTAGTACAAAATTTTGTCATAGCACCCCTCCATCCCAAGCATGAGATTGGCAAAATATTAGAGGAGAAAAACTAATCAAGCATTGGACTTGGCATAATCACAATAGTAGTAGTTGTAGTAGATTTTCCATACAAGAATCAATCAATGTTAGAGAGAAATAATGCCAGTGCCAGTCATTGTGAAACTACCTCCAAGATTAATGCTTCTGTTCGGGCAGGAATTTTTGCTGGAGATGCTCCCTAGTCGTCGAGCACACAGCTCCCCGAGAGGTTGGCGCCGGTTGATTTTGTCTGTCGGGCTTTTGCTTATTGACGGGCTATAAAAGAAAGACAAAGTTAATTCTGAGAGGTGCCTTTGTGGGGCCTTAGATATAGGCCTTAAGGCTCGCAATCAAAACTAACTACGTGCTCAGGCATGCCACTGTCATCTTCAGCATGGCAGATGTAAAATGGGTGTTTATGTTAATTGCTTATGCCCAAGTAACCAAGTCAGTTATGAGAGGTGCCTTTGTGAGGCCTTAGGTATAGACCTTGAGGCTTCCAATCAAAACCGACCAAGTAGTTTGGCATATAGCTGGTGTTTCATTGTTGCTGAAGTATTACAACTGTTTTTACTTTAATCACCCTAGCCCGAAGAGCAGAACGAACCCTGATAGGTGCCTTTGTGGGGCCTTAGGTATAGGCCTTGAGGCTTCCCATCAACACTAATTCCATACTCAAGCGTTCTATAGCGATCATAGTATAATAGATGTAAAACTAAGAAATGGGTCGATTACTTGCGCCCCAAGTAACTTGGACTTCTCGTTATCAAAGATTGTCGTGGATGGGTTAAGTCGACATTAAGTTCTTTTTTATGCCTTGAGACCAAGGACTTTTTGGTTGATCAATTTTGTATGCTTGAAAGGTTGAAACTTAGATCTAATCAAGTTATGAGCTTGAAACTTGACTTATCTTTTGTAATGGTTAAAACCACTAAACAGACCAGATCCGAGAACCAATAGATCTTTTAATCACAAACTGACTAGAAATAACTTGGAGATATATTGAAGTATACATCATACTAATAGATCTATGAATTCACCGACATAACAAAGAGGGTCGAGCAAGGTTGATTGTCTTGCAGCTTCCTCTCTTTGTGGTTACAAAGTGTTTTGGTGTTGGATGGGGAAGATTGGTGGATGAGTTTATGGGAGGGAATCGATACTACAGCAAGATTTAGACAAGGTAGCAAAGCTTTTACAAAGACAAAGGTTGTCTGTTCTATGAGAATCTTAAAGCTGAAAAGATTGTAGAATATGGACAAAGCACGACTTTGTGGGTTTCTTGGCTTGACTGAGATAGACAAGTTGTAAGATTGTTTGTTTGATTGATTGAGTGTCCATGCCCCTGATTTCTATTTCTTCTTTTATAGACAATCTAGCTCGGTTGCCTGTAACTCTGCTCTTGCCCGAATGTGACTGAAGGGTAATGACTCATCAACTTTTTACTTGTACTGCCATTGTAAAGTACTTTTGGGTTGATTAACTGGCTGATCTATACCACTTGTCTTTTCAGTAGGTGAGCCAGTGGTTTAAGTTGCCTGCACCTAGCCGAAAAAGGGCTTCTTCCATCTTCTGGGCTTCGGCTGGACCTTCGGTTTTCTTCCTTCAAAACCTGCCTTTGGGTTGACTTCCACTTGAGCCCAAAGTTTAAGTTTAAACCCAAACAGCTTCTGAGTGCAAACTCGGGGCCTTCGCCTTTGCCAGTCATTCACATATGGATGCCCCGTCAAGCATGCATTCCTATGATTTTAATTCACAACACTTTCAGTTGGATGCATGATTTCCAGGAGGTCAATGAAGAACTAGTGGAGTGAGTGAACGTAAACAATCATGATGGATGCCTCCTAATGAACACGTAAAATTCTTTATTGAAATATGCAGCATTCATGAGCAATATGCAATCATCATGTTTGACGTTACCGCTAGGTCGACATACAAGAATGTCCCTACATGGCACCGTGACCTCTGCCGGTGAGTTGGCTAAATTATTTTTGTGTCAAGTCTAATGTTTCTTTATTTTACTTTATTTTTTTATTTTTTTTACATTAGTTACTGATGGTTTGGTATATTTAATTCCTCACGTTAGTATTTCAGTGTGTGCTAGAACATCCCTATTGTTCTCTGTGGCAACAAGGTTGATGTGAAGAACATGCAGGTTATCTTCCACATAAAGAAGAACCTGCAGTACTATGAGATATCAGCAAAGAGCAACTACAACTTTGAGAAACCCTCCCTCTACTTGGCGAGGAAGGGTGGGTGGAACTAAATGTGGAGGGAGCCATAAGGACAACAGATGGGAGAGGAGGTGCAATTCCATTCTTCTCGGATTCAGAAGAGCTCAAAATTTGTGAGGGATTGAGTTGCTTCCTTACAACTCCCATCAGAATTCAAATTTCATCGTTATTTGAGATTAACTAGATAAGAAAATTTACAAATTCTTAAAAATAAAATTCAATCATTTATATTCCGTCACTTTTGAATTCCTTAATAATCATAAATCTCTTCGTCTAAACACGGTGTAGATGAAAGTTGACCAATTTGAGAAAGTTTTGTTTCATAAATGATGAACATGAAACGGCAGCTTTCGTCCTTTCTTCTCAATTTGGTTCATGGGAACATTGATTCAACGACCTGAAATATTTGAGCAGTGATCTTCCTATTGGACAAGTTCATCTGTAAGTTTAAATCATGATAAGTTAAATTGCACCAGTTACTATTTCAAAAAAACAAAAAAAAAAAAATTGCACCAGTTTAAGCGTAAAGTAGTAAACATTGAAATTAACTGGCAAGGTGTGCTGAAAATTATGGGCCAAGTCTCTAATTAGACATTAAGGGAGGTGCAGTCAAACTCGAATTTTAAAATCTTAATGTGCTCAATTAAAAGATTTTAAAGGATTTTAGAATCCATTCAAATCTTGGTGTAGTCAATTAAAAAATGATTTTAGAATCCATTCAAATCTATGTGTAGTCAATTAAAAGATTTTAAAGGATTTTAGAATCCATTCAAATCTTGGTGTAGTCAATTAAAAAAAGGATTTTAGAATCCATTCAAATCTATGTGTATTAAAAAAATCAAGATTTTGGAAGATTTCAAAGTTGTGGATTTTGTGGGATTTGAGAGTAAAAACTATATATAACCAAGACTCAAAAGAATCCAACCTCACCCCCTAGGATTTCAAATCCTTCCACCACAATCCATATGAATTTTGTAGGAGTTTTTAATCCTCTTAAATTCTATAAAATCTATCATTTTAGAAATCCTTTAAAAAATCTTAGTTTGACTACACTCCAAAATTGACGAATAAGTTAAATTGGTGCAATTTAAAAGTCAGGTGTATAATATGCAAAAAGTGAAACCTTGTGCTATAAAACGCATTCAACCCAAGAAAAAAAATTGTAAGGTAGAAATCGCCGAACCCAATATCGTTTGGTCGCGCGAGCTAAAGTTCTCTCTCCCTCTCCCACAGCCCCCAGTTACGACGCCGGAGCAAGATCCATGGAGTGGCCTCCGTTGAACGAGATCGATGCGAACGTCCAGATGCAGAACCCTAATGGTATGATTTGTGATTATCTAGAATTTTTCATTTTTTTTTTTTGCTAATTTACGCTCTAACACCCCCGAACCCTAACTCGATTACTATCACTCTCCTGTCTGTCCCCTCTATTCTCTTTCAGACGAAGCCATGTTCGACGAAGCAACCATGGTCGATGATGGTATGCTTTTGATTCTCCATTTGGCCGATTTTCAATTCAGTATTATAATCTTTGGTTAGATATGTTATTGTGATATAGAAACCACCCTAACAAGGGGTATGCGGTATACGACACTAGTACAAAAATATGTTTGCGCGACGGAAACTTGCGCGACGTAGCAAATTTCGTCGCGCAAACATACTTTGCGCGACGCTACAAAGAAACCGTCGCGTAAACATACTTTGCGCAACGACACTTTGAGCGACGCCAGGCTTCGTCGCGCAAAGATGTTTTGCGCAACGTAGGTACCCCTGCGTCGCGCAAGGCCGTTTTGCGCGACGCCAGGCTTCGTCGCACAAAGTTTTGGCGCCAAATCAAGATAATTTACCACTTTTTTCCTAATTTTGCGCGACGCTGGTGCACATACGTCACGCAAAGATGTTTTGCGCGACGTAGGTACCCTTGCGTCGCACAAAACATCTTTGCGCGACGTAGGCCTACGTCGTGCAAAGCGTTTTTTTTTTTTTGGTCCTTTTGCTTTTCTTTTGGGGTTCTTACATTGTCTTTTTCTTTTGTTGTATCCACTTATGTAAATATTTTAAATTGACGATCGAATTAGTTCATTGTATTCATATAGGATCAAGGAGTGTAGCTGTAAAAAATCATCAAAATCGGAGTTAAAATAACCGTTAAATCGTGATTTTTCGTTTATAACCGTCGAAAAGTTTTGTCCCGTTACTTGATCTTTGAATGTTCTTTTTTTTGTGATTTTTTGGCGTATGCGATCTCGAAGCATATACAAACAAGGTTGACGGTTGGATCGTTGAAACTAGTTTTGTACAATGTGTATCCCATCAAAACAATAGATTCATTAACACTTAGAGTTTATTTATATTTTCATTAACTATAACATAAGATTTGTGGTATCCACTTGTGTAAATATTTTAAATTGACGATCGAATTAGTTCATTGTATTCATATAGGATCAATGAGTGTAGCTGTAAAAAATCATCAAAATCGGAGTTAAAATAACCGTTAAATCGTGATGTTTCGTTTATAACCGTCGAAAAGTTTTGTCCCGTTACTTGATCTTTGAATGTTTTTTTTTTGTGATTTTTTGGCGTATGCGATCTCGAAGCATATACAAACAAGGTTGACGGTTGGATCGTTGAAACTAGTTTTGTACAATGTGTATCCCATCAAAACAATAGATTCATTAACACTTAGAGTTTATTTATATTTTCATTAACTATAACATAAGATTTGTGGTATCCACTTGTGTAAATATTTTAAATTGACGATCGAATTAGTTCATTGTATTCATATAGGATCAATGAGTGTAGCTGTAAAAAATCATCAAAATCGGAGTTAAAATAACCGTTAAATCGTGATTTTTCGTTTATAACCGTCGAAAAGTTTTGTCCCGTTACTTGATCTTTGAATGTTTTTTTTTGTGATTTTTTGGCGTATGCGATCTCGAAGCATATACAAACAAGGTTGACGGTTGGATCGTTGAAACTAGTTTTGTACAATGTGTATCCCATCAAAACAATAGATTCACTAACACTTAGAGTTTATTTATATTTTCATTAACTATAACATAAGATTTGTGGTATCCACTTGTGTAAATATTTTAAATTGACGATCGAATTAGTTCATTGTATTCATATAGGATCAATGAGTGTAGCTGTAAAAAATCATCAAAATCGGAGTTAAAATAACCGTTAAATCGTGATTTTTCGTTTATAACCGTCGAAAAGTTTTGTCCCGTTACTTGATCTTTGAATGTTTTTTTTTTGTGATTTTTTGGCGTATGCGATCTCGAAGCATATACAAACAAGGTTGATAGTTGGATCGTTGAAACTAGTTTTGTACAATGTGTATCCCATCAAAACAATAGATTCACTAACACTTAAGAGTTTATTTATATTTTCATTAACTATAACATAAGATTTGTGGTATCCACTTGTGTAAATATTTTAAATTGACGATCAAATTAGTTCATTGTATTCATATAGGATCAATGAGTGTAGCTGTAAAAAATCATCAAAATCGGAGTTAAAATAACCGTTAAATCGTGATTTTTCGTTTATAACCGTCGAAAAGTTTTGTCCCGTTACTTGATCTCTGAATGTTTGTTTTTTACGATTTTTGGCGTATGCGATCTCGAAGCATATACAAACAAGTTTGACGGTTGGATCGTTGAAACTAGTTTTGTACAATGTGTATCCCATCAAAACAATAGATTCACTAACACTTAGAGTTTATTTATATTTTCATTAACTATAACATAAGATTTGTGGTATCCACTTGTGTAAATGTTTTAAATTGACGATCGAATTAGTTCATTGTATTCATATAGGATCAAGGAGTGTAGCTGTAAAAAATCATCAAAATCGGAGTTAAAATAACCGTTAAATTGTGATTTTTCGTTTATAACCGTCGAAAAGTTTTGTCCCGTTACTTGATCTCTGAATGTTTGTTTTTTACGATTTTTGGCGTATGCGATCTCGAAGCATATACAAACAAGTTTGACGGTTGGATCGTTGAAACTAGTTTTGTACAATGTGTATCCCATCAAAACAATAGATTCACTAACACTTAGAGTTTATTTATATTTTCATTAACTATAACATAAGATTTGTGGTATCCACTTGTGTAAATATTTTAAATTGACGATCGAATTAGTTCATTGTATTCATATAGGATCAATGAGTGTAGCTGTAAAAAAATCATCAAAATCGGAGTTAAAATAACCGTTAAATCGTGATTTTTCATTTATCGCCGTCGAAAAGGTTTGTCCCATTACTTGATATCTGAATATTTTTTTTTTGCAATTTTTAGCATATGCAATCTCGAAACATGTACAAAAAAAAAAAAAAGGGAAATACATATTTAAAAAAAAACAAAAAAAAAAAGAAAAACAAAGGCTTTGCGCGACGTAGGTTTTTCGATCAACGATTGTTCGTTAAATCGTGATTTTTCGTTTATAACCGTCGAAAAGTTTTGTCCCGTTACTTGATCTCTGAATGTTTGTTTTTTACGATTTTTGGCGTATGCGATCTCGAAGCATATACAAACAAGTTTGACGGTTAGATCGTTGAAACTAGTTTTGTACAATGTGTATCTCATCAAAACAATAGCATTCATTGGTTAAACAAAGTCTTTTTACATTAAGTTACATATTAAAAAAAAAAACACTTAAAAAAAAAACATAAAAGTAAAAATATTTTACAATGATGTGTAAACTAATAGCATTCATTGGTCAGGTGGTACTTCAGTAGTCGGCGGAGCTTCAGCAGTCGGCGGGGCCACAGAAGGAGGAGGCAACAAAGGTTGATCAGTTGGAGCTTCACTACGCGGTGCCGCTCCTGAAGACGAAGGCAGATGCTGTTGGAACAAACCCACAAACCTCCGATGATCAAGTAAAATTTGACCATCAGTGTCCTGCATCTGGTCAATTTTCCTCTTCATGTTGGTGGCATAGCTGTGTGCGAGCTTGTGCAACTCTTTATTCTCATGCTTGAGCCCTCTAATCTCTTGCTTGAGACTCATCACTTCAGCCGCCAACGATTCAACTTGACGGGTTCAGGCAAATAGGCGTTGGGCCATGTTGGACACGGAACCTGCACACTGTACACTGAGAGCCAGAGACTCCTTGACAGCCAATTCATCAGACCGCCTTGAAAGCAGTCTGTTATCTTTAGGAGTGACAAGGTTCCGGGCCACCACCGCAGCTGTCATATCATTCTTCATCACCGAAGCCCCAACGATAAGGGGACCAAAAGGGGATATGAAAGATGGGCGCCATATGTTGTCTGGTGATGGCGGAGCTGCCTCTTCACCAATGTTCAAGTCAAAACGACGATCGGAAGGGCCAGACATTTTCTGAAGGTGTTGAGAAAGAAGAGATCGGACAGATTCAGATTTCGGAAGTGCAAGAAGGGAGTGTTTACAGGAGGGAGCTCAAGTATGTTGTGGAAAAAAAGTAACGCCTCTATAAAAAGAAGAAATCAAAGAGGCGCTCCTCAGAAATCGAAGAGGCGTCCTCTCGCAAATCGAAGAGTGTCAGCTTTCTCAAAAGTTGGGCTTGCTCACAAACCACCGATTCCAGATATCGAAGAGTGTCAGCTTTCTCAGCCTCGTCAGCAACCGTCACACGCAAACTCAGCTTTGCGAAAATCACGGAAAATTTTCGGAAATCACGGCCTCGTCAGCACTTGTCACATGCAGAGAAAGCTTTGCGGAAATCACGGGTAGTTTGTCGAAGCGCCGATTCCAACGGTCATCGCTTTCGAAAACCGAAATTCCTATATATGTCGACCTCCCTCCTCCACGGACAGACAAACCTGCAAAAATGCTCAACAATTTCTCGCATTCGAGAAGGCACCCTCAACATAACCTCTCGAAATACTCAGCTTTATTTCCCCCCGATAAGACCTCAGCAAATAAGCCACACCAAGAACAAGAGTATCTCATATCATCAGGGTCGAAAGCAAGAGTATCCCATATCATGCTTTCTCCCTGTCTTTGTCTTTGTCTTTGTCTTTCTCCCTATCTTTGTCTTTGCCTGGAACTTTTGCTCTCGAGTACTCATTCTCAACTGTTGTCAAGGTCACGAATTCCACCGGCAAATACCTCATGATAGTGGATCAGATATTGGCAAATACCTCAACAGCAAGAGTATCCCATATCATCAGGGTTGAACGTACTCTAGATTTGATGGACTTGTTTTGACCCTCAAATTCTTGAGTCAACTCACTAAGGCGTCGTGAACTACACGTGCCGATTCACCACTCTTGAGTCAAATCCTTAAAGATCAAGCCACCACCGGTCCTTGAAGATATCAAAAGCCCGATTCAAGATCAAGTGTTCACCACCCTGAATCAAATCCAGTTCAAGAATAAGCCTGTGGAAAGTTACTTCAAAAGCAAAAGTATTTCATATCATCTCTCTTCTCCATTTGCTTCTCCTTATCCTTGGTACTATTTACTAGCCAAGGAGAAGGAGAACAATCAAATCCATTTGCTTGCTTGGAAGTCTGATTGCTTACCTTGTCTGTTACCTCCTTCGACAAATCTCCTAGCTCGGCGACTTGGGAGACTCCTACTATTTGTGTTGAGAAACAGTCAAACTTCGTATAAATTAAATTCTTCCATTTTACTGTTAAAGTAGTAACTTGATTGGATTACTTAATGAGAAGCATGAAACACGGTCCAGATTACAGTCAAACTTAATGATTGCTAAACCCCAAAGTTAATTATCTAGATTACATCGCTTATCCATATTCCTAATAATTATGATCGATAATAGCAATAATAATTAAAAGTCTATACGCAAAAATCTGAAAGTTAATGGGGAGAGAGGGATCTTATATTATTTCAAAAGAGCTTACATTCTTGGCGCGGTATGAAAATAAATTATATATAAAAATAAAAGTCAATATATTATGCTATGTAGCAGAAAGTAAAAAAAATAGGATTATATTATGCTAATTTGCAGATGCAGGTACATTCTAGGGTTCTAGAATATAGAAGCCAGCTAATTAGTAATTAACTATGGTTCAAGCCAGCTAATTAATTGGGTAGCTAGCTGGGTTAAATGGAATATAATGCACAACTATCTGAGAAAGGTCAAGAAGTTTAATAAAATGCACAGCTTGAAGAGTCATTTTCTGAGTGGATAAACAGTAGTGGAAACATTGAATACTAATTATGCATAATTAAAGTTTCGGTCACATTGAATAATAATTATGCATAATTAAAGAAAATAAATTGTTTAGAGTTTTTCTAGTTATATGAGCTCTAGTATAGTAGGATGAGAACGGGTTTGGATATGGAATTTTTCCATGAAGAAAGAGAAAGAGGGTCCATGTTATCATATGGAGGGCCAACATGCAACAGTAAACCCAATGGGTTTGATTTATATGCTTTATTGACTGATTTCCCTCTCGCTCATCTCTGCAAACAAATTTCCCTTTCCCCCTTTTTTCCTCCTAACAAATTTCTCAAAAATTTGGGCAGTTTTCTCCACATATTTTCACTAACTTTCTCAATTCGGTAAATCCGGTTTCTGGGAAGATGCGCGACGCATTTTTGGGCAGTTTTCGTCTCAGGTAATGATCTCTGTGAACCTTAAAAGCATATTTCATATTTCCAGAACTGGGTTTTTTGGGCAGTTTCCATTTCATATTTCCAGAACTGGGTTTTAGCTATTTAATGATCTCTGTGAACCTTAAAAGCATGAATTCTTACTCTGTCCTCCCTATTACAAAATTTCACTACATGGGTTTTGTTCAATCCCAGTTTTCCACATATGGGATTTCAATCCTTTGATCCATATTGGAAGCTCATGCACTTTGAGCTTTAATACTTGATTCATGCACTTGTTTAGAATATGGGCATTAATATATAGTATTGATATTATTGCTATTATTGCTTTTTGAATAATCTTGATATAGTATTGATATGGGATGAGCTAGTGTCGGCAAAATTAATGAAAAGGAAGGGAATCGAAAGGGAATTGCATAATTAAAGAAAAGGAATTGTTTAGAATTGTTTAGAGTTTTTCTAATTAAAGAAAGGGAATCGAAAGTAAGTATAATCATATGGGATGAGCTAGTGTCGGCAAAATTAATGAGCTCTAGTAGAAAGGGAATTGCATAATTAAAGAAAAGGAATTGTTTAGAATTGTTTAGAGTTTTTCTAATTAAAGAAAGGGAATCGAAAGTAAGTATAATCATATGGGATGAGCTAGTGTCGGCAAAATTAATGAGCTCTAGTAGAAAGGGAATTGCATAATTAAAGAAAAAGAATTGTTTAGAATTGTTTAGAGTTTTTCTAATTAAAGAAAGGGAATCGAAAGTAAGTATAATCATATGGGATGAGCTAGTGTCGGCAAAATTAATTACCTTTGGAAACTTGATGCCAAGTAGATGCTGCAAGTTTTTCAAACTATATATTGGAGTTGAGTCAAAATTAATTACCTTTGGAAACTTGATGCCAAGTAGATGCTGCAACGATCCAACCACAAAATTAATTTTATGTTGTTAATTTTTATTCTGCATTTTAGACTATGCAAGTGCCAATGTGCTTGCTGGCTATGACAAATTGCAAGTCCTACTTCTTGGCAAGAAGTATGGGTCTGGCGGCAATGGTTAATGATGCTTTGTTCAGTTTTCTTTGCTTTTTTCACACTTGGGTTATTTGTTCAGTTTTCTTTGTTTTTTTCTTCTAGTTTCAAATGCAAGAAAGGATTAGTTTCTAATGTTATATTTTTATGGTTAAAAAAGTGTATAGATGTCGTATTTGATCACTCGTCGTCGGAGTGTGACCAATGTGACCAATGAGCCTACACCCCTTGGTGAGCCTGCTGCTACGGCGTCCCAAGTGCCTATCTCATTGACGTCATCAGTGTCGGTTGAGCAGGTCAGTGCACGGCGGCCTCACTGGCGCCGTCGCGAGCCGGAACCTTTTGATCACACTTCCTCGGCATCCAGAGTAGAAGGTGAGGCCTCCCAGCCAGGTAGTTTTTTCTAATTCTCACTACGTTGTAATTTTTTTTGATCATTTTAAAACTATTATTTTTATGATGGTCAAAATTTGTTGGATTGTGAAAATGTGTTGCAGGTTGTGAATTACTGTTATTTTACTGTTATAAGGTTTTCGGAAATGCTATACCATTAGGGGAGGTTATGTCAAATTTTTTTTTACAAATTTAAGCTTACGATTTTCACCATTTAAGTATTTTTGGCCAGCTAAAAAAACCACCAGGGGACCTAATCGAATGTTGAAGCAGTTAGAGGGCGCACGGCAGAACGGCTCCAGGATCAAGATTGTGTATGACCCGCGACATTGTGGAGCGGCTACCTCACAGCAGCATAGCGGCATCGCTACTAGTTGTGGTGTTGTTATTCGAGATAATTGTCCCTTTCAGCGGGGGTCTTGGGCAAAAATTCCCGAGGAGACGAGGACATTAGTGCGAGACAGGTTGTCGGTTAGTATATTTAATTTTAGCTGTTATTATTTTTTAAATTTTGTTTACAAATATTCAAAACCAAAATATATTATCTTAATATTATTAAATTTGTTACAATTATTTTATTATTTTTCATATTCGTAGTGCGTTTATGATCTTGAGGACATATCCCCTGAGGCTATGGCCTACTTAGAGGGGACCTTAGCAACCCGATACAAACAATGGAAGAACAATTTTCACACGCTTTTTAAGCAATGGAATGATCCGGAGATTGCTCGTCTACATGTTCCAATGGAGTTGAAGGACCGGCCAGAGGATTGGGAGTGGCTCTGCAAACATTTTACGGACCCAAAATTTGTGGTATATACATAATATTTTAATAATAATTTATTATTGTACATGTTATTTTTTTAAGCTTTTTTATTAATTTATTTCAAATAGTCGCACTAACATGTATATTGTGTGTTTAACAGAAGAAATCTATTGCTGGCCAGAAAGCTCGGGAGTCAAAGACACTTCTCCACCATTCTGGTTCAAAGCCCTTTTCGTATAGGCTTGAGGCACGACGTGAGGTAAAAGTAAATTAACTTTGAAATTTTATACAATTTATTTATTATTATTGATTAATACAATTTTCTTCATGTTTTTTTCTTAAGGAGGGTTCTATGTTCCCAGAGATCGACATGTTCGAGGAAGTTTACGTTCGACCTAATAATGAGACCACTAAGCAACTTCATGTAAGTATATGTAATTATCATTATTCTTATATGTAAGAATCGTTCAAATATTATCTATATTTTGTTATTAAACATTATATGTTTTTTCTTTATTATTACAGGCTACTATGGTGGAAAAAAGAGATGATGTTCTCCACGAAGCAACATCGCAGCTTCCCTCGGAGACTCCGATCGAGGACATCACACTACCTGAGGATGTAGGTTTTCAGATCATGACTGATGTCCTGGATCAGAACTTTGGTCGTCGTCGTGGCAAGGTTGTTCGAGGTATGGGGAAAGTGCGAGTTCGTGAGACGGGTGCCTCTTCTTCCAGATCGAAAACAGTAGAGGTCAATGCATTGAAGGAGGAAGTGACGCAGTTGAGGGCCGAGGGTGAGCAGATGAAGGTGCAGCTGAGGGCCCAGGATGAGCGGATGAAGGCCCAGGACGAGGAGGTGAGGACCTGTGTCGGGAGGGTGCAAGAACTTGTACAAGCCATACAGATGGCTGGCCTCCAAATCTCGCTACCAGTACCTCATCTTGCTCCACCTTCGACCTCAGACCCATCTCGCCCTGCCGATACCCAGTAGCTTGATGTATTAAACCAGTTCACTTGTAGTTTTTTTTTGGTTTGGACATCTTGTATGCACATTTTTATATATTTTATAATTAAATACTTTTGTTTAATTAATTATTCTTTAGAATTTAATTATAATATTGATCAAGAATTTAAAAAAAATAACTCAAACCAAAAAAAGGGTTTTACGCGACGTGCATCCTATGGTATGCGTCGTGCAAAGTACTTAGCGCGACGTGCGTGCGCGTCGTGCAAAGCACTTTGCACGACACACGTATATGTCGCGCTAAGTACTTTGCACGACGCGCGCGCACGTCGCGCTAAGTACTTTGCACGACGCACGTATACGTCGCGTAAAATACTTTGCACGACTCACGTATACGTCGCGCAAAATACTTTGCACGACGCATACGTGAGTTGCGCAAAGTATTTTGCGCGACGTATGTTATTGTTCGTCGCGCAAGCCATACGTCGCGCTAAGTACTTTGCACGACGTGCACGCACGTCGCGCTAAGTACTTTGCACGACGCATACGTGAGTCGCGCAAAGTACTTAGCGCGACGCATGTTATTGTTCGTCGCGCAAGTCATACGTCGCGCTAAGTACTTTGCACGACGCGCACGCACGTCGCGCTAAGTACTTTGCACGACGCATACGTGAGTCGCGCAAAGTACTTAGCGCGACGCATGTTATTGTTCGTCGCGCAAGCCCTACCGTCACTGCCTTGGCGCGACGGTCAGCGCACGACGAACCCTTCGTCGCGCAAACCCTTAGGCAACGACTTTTGGCTTTGCGCGACGCATTTACGTACGTCGCGCAAAGTGTTTTTTCTACTAGTGCGACGTTGTGTGTGAGAAAATCAGTTTTCGATCAAGGTTTGGTTTTGTTGGGGTTTTGCTAAAATAATTAGCTAATCTGCTTTTAAAGAGTCTCCTGGAGATCTTTATATTTGAAAAGAGTTATTTAAATTTCCGAAACCCAGTGTCGGCTATCTCTCGCTTATAGCTATATGAATCACAATTACGCTCTGCCTCTCACCACCCCACCTCTTATATATCGCTCTCTCTCTCTCTCAGATGAAGTAATGGGCAAATCTACTAAAGCAACCCTCAAACCAAAACCAAGTTGGTTCGATGATGATGATGATGACTGCATTGGGCAGAATCCTAACGGTATGCTTTTGATTTTTGTTTTAGTATTAAATCCTCATTTTCTCCCTAATGAATATGAATATGAATGCATCTATGATCCTTAATACTCCTTTGTTTAGTGTCTTTGTAGTGTATTCGCACTACTTTTCTAGTGCTTCAGTAGTTAATGTGTGGTCTTGTTCTAGTGTATTTCTACCGTATTCGCACTACTTTTGTATGCTTCGGTAGTTAATAGTTGATTAACTGAGTAGAATTCGCTGCAAAAGTGTCTGTCATTGTTGTTATTTTCTCCTAGCTTTTGGCAAGTGCCTTCGCCCATGAGCGGTAGGTCTCGGGTTCGAGACTTGGGAGCAGCCTCTCCATAAATGGGGGTAAGGCTAGCCGACATTCACCTCTCCCAGACCTTGCGTAAAGCGGGAGCCTTGTGCACTGGGTACGACCTTTTTTTTTTTTTTGGGTATGTCTGCACTTCCTTGGTTTTGCTTTTTCCATTAGGCTTTTCAAGTTAGGTGTCATGGCTTTGCAATCTCCTAACGTGTTTCTAGGGGGCGTCCTTGTAGCAAGAGCATTTATGAGCCCAAGTGCTACTTAGAAAAGTTGTCCCCATAAGTGCCCGATGTTTTACAACTCAATTTAGTTTAGACATGTATTCATGTTTTTGTAGCAAGAAAAAAGTCTTACGGGCCTTGAGATGATATGTTACTAATTGTTATTAGTATTCTTATTTTGTATTCTAATAATGAAAATTTAAACAAGCAGATGAAGGTGAAGGTATACAAAACGCGATTGGAGACCCAATGGCTCGACTCCAATTGCGAAAAAAACGTAATTACTGTGAAGTTTGTTGTGAGGAAGTTGAGGACCACAAGAGTTACAATTGCCCGTACTTTGTTTTGGTCCCAAAGGGCGCTCGTGTTGGCGAACACTGTGATATAGTTTGCACAGAATGTGGTGAGCAAGTTTCTAAGCACGAAGGTGAGCTTAATGTGCACTATGAAGGACGTGCTATTTTGAAGTACTGTCATCGGTGTCAGGATTACCGTAGCCACTGGACTGAAGAATGTGAGTCGATGCGAAAATAGTGAAAATGTCCGAACCTTGTCTTGGTGAGTAACTTAGTGGTAAGTTTGTTGGGAGGACTGAGGTGCTGTTGGATGAAGATGATTGGTTCTCGTAGTCGCAGGAAGATCAAGTCCTTGTAGTTGTTATGTTTACAAGTCTTGTAAGCGCATCACTTTGGGTGTAATGAATCTAATGATATTGTTATTTACAGCAGATGGTTCTGTTGTATATATAAAGAAAGGCTACCCTACCTTGTTTACTTGTTTCATGGCCCTTATTATTGCTTATGAATTTTTGTGCTAGTAAATTAAATGGTTGGTATGATGACATTAAGATGCTCTCAAATTCAATTACTAATTAATCTAATCATGACTCTTTAGATTTTGTGGCATTTCTTGGCGATCCATGGGTAAATCGGTTGTGTCATACAAGTTTTGCTTATTTAATTGGAGCGACAAACCCTCTTTATGAGACAATTGAGTAGGCAACATTTTACGACAGCATTTATAGTGCGCTTTCGCCCCCTTTAATTTTCCTAAGACCGTTAAAGAGGCTCTGAGCCATTGCAAAAGATTGGATCTCCTATACCTGACGACTAAAGCTTTGCCCGTCGAAATTGCACAAACCAAAGCATCGACCGTTTTTGCCCGACAATTTGCATTCCGTTGGGTACCAACGAAATACTATTTGTTGAACAAATGGTAATTGCTGGTAGAGCAAGAGAACAAGAACTCATATTCTGAAATCACAACAACAAGACATTAGGATCACGAATAAATCAAATCAATATAAAATAGAGATGAACAATTATATTGAACTTATATGTAGAATATGAAGGACATGGCTCTTCCGGATGACAAATGATAGAGTTCACAAGGTTGTCTTCTCCTTCCAATACTCCAAAATATCCCTCTACTGTATGAATATATTTTAGTATTATGAAGAATTCAACGTATGGAAGCTGGGACTTAACTTAGTATTTATACCATTAGGGTTCCTTATTAGCCGGCCTATTAACAGCTACGGAGGTCAACCCTATCACCTTGATTGAGTCCTATCATGATGCAATAACTTTCTATTTGAACCTCTAGATGATTCTCCAAGATTAACTGCAATGATTTAAGACTCCACAATTCTTACTAACTAGGACTCTTAATTTACTTTAAATATTTTTTAAAAATTGGTTAACTGAACTTGTCTTTGTGCGTTCAACTCTTAAGTGTTTTTAACTTATTATGATAAAAAGACTTTCAAGATATTCCGACTTTTTATAGTAATTTACTCAAAATATATATATATTTTTTTTTATAGAAAATCAATATATTATGGACTGAATAAAGATTATATCAAATCTTGGTCAAGGAGGTCTTGAATGAAGTCAGGAGGCTCCTCAAACCAAACTAGTTCATTGCCAATTGACAAGGCAAGCCTAGCCAATCTATGTGCAACACCATTACATGTTCTAGGTGAAGAAGGCGTGCAGCATAGGTGACGTCCACAGCAAGAAGCCCCATGGCAGACAAACTCCCAGAATGATTGCCCGATGAGAGTAACAGCTTGGGAGGAATCTCTCTCGACCACCAGGCGGTGAACCCCGAGTTGCTGTGCAAGTCTCACACCTGCCAGCACTGCCAGCAACTCCACTTGAATCACTGATCCGACTCCCATCTTCCTCCACATACCAGCATCCAAAAAACTCCCGCGCTATATTTTGTAATCAACTTTTGTATTTATTGTTAATTTTGGATACATTTTGTTCATTGTTTTATATTGAATGTATACTTTATATGAAACAAAATTAATTGAATTTATACATATACATATACCAAATAGTAATAATGAACAATAAATTGCATGACAGAAAAAGTTAGAAAGTATTAAAAAACTTATAAATTATATGAATTTCAAAATTAAGCTTCAAATTACTGAAATTACTCCAGTTCCGAAAATTCCGGATTTGAAAAGACCCGACTCCAAAATTTTGGAACGGAAGTTGAAAAGGTTATCTCTGATATGTTCCTTGCGACAAATACCCCTACAACAAACACCCGCACACAACCCACATGCCTCAACGTTCTTTAAAATCTTGAAACAAAAAGCAAATCTATGCACAGATTCCTGGCCCAGATGCTCTTACTATCAGGATCAACTTGAAAAACTGCCTCAACAACAGGCTCGTACCACGTGTTCAAGCAAGCTAAGTGAACAGATACATCACATTTAGTCGACATGATGCCTATCAGTGGTGTCATAATGAGCTTTGTGCTTTTTAAGTATCCGTTTTTTTTTAATTTCACTACCGTTTCCTTTGCATGTTCCTATTTGTTCCATACCATTGTCTTTTTTTGTCGCATTTGTCTCAAAGGGTAATATCATGGTAGGGTGAACAAGGGCATCAATAAGACCTTCCCATGCAACCTGCAAAATTGGAGTACATAACAATCTTAGCTTAAGACATGGAATCTGAAAGTCTGGATATTCTGAGACTAGATTAAGTTTTAACGCTGACAAGGATTAGGGACTTGGATCTAGCTTCGAAGGAGCATAACATAAATGAAATCATTAAGAAAAACACATCATCTATTCTTTGGAATTAGACTTACTTGTGAAGCAATTTGAACTTGTGAGTCATGATCTGAAAATGTCTGCTCGGGAATTTTTAGCATCTGATTAATTAACTGCCTGTTCTTCAAGGCATGAGATCCCAGTAGGCGGATAAACCATCCCCATGCTTGAATAGTTTGAACCTTCATGCCATTGGTTAGCATATGGTGCATCCCAGTAAGCAACCTTGGCTTCAAATCTTTGACAACTGCCTGTTTATGGAAGAAAATGAAGAAAAAGGAAATGTACATGTCAATATAAATTACAGAATAACCAGCAAGACAAGATCATGGAAAGCCACCTCATGGTTCTATGTGTGGAGCCAATGGAAGGGATGCTACATAATCTTATGGTTAATTTTTCCATGACACGGCATAAGCTACCCATACTAGAAGTCACACTTCAAGAAAATGACATGAGCAAGTGAGTACCTTGGAAAGATTTAGCGGAGGGGGTAATATTGTAGACCTGGTGTTCAATAAACACCTCTCTGACATATCCATCTCTTTGAAAAATCATTTGAAAAATTATTTTTACCTTTCTTTGCCTGTTTGGCAAGCCATGACTTGTATTTAGGACAGTTTCTCTTCATATGGTCTTTTTTATTTTTATTTTTATTTTTGCAAAAATAACACTTAAAAATTGATGAGTTATTACTTTGAAGGTCCTTTTAGAAGGAGAAATGTTCCTGGCATAATTCATTTTGGCAGTATCCAAGTTGTTATTGGCATTCTTTGCATAACCCTGAACAAAATTCACCGACTCACCCGTCTCCTTTTCAGCCATTTCCTTCTTAATCCTCACTTCCTCACCCACACATATAGTTATTAATTCATTGACATCCCACTTTCCTTGCAGTGTATCATAGGATACATTCAACTGAGTATAAGAAATAGGCAAGGAATTCATGATGACATGGACCAAAAATGTTTTAGAAATGAGTACCTCGAGAGTGTTCTAAGCTTCCCAGCAATGTCGATAACCTTGAGAATGTATTCACAGATACCCCATTCACCATCGTATCTGATGGTTGTCAGTGAGTTCATCAAGTTCCCAGTTTTTGTCCTTTCATATTCTTTGTACTTCTCTTCAATCGATTTCATGAACTCCTTTGAATTAGTTGCCTCTGGGAAGCCTCCACAAACTACATCAGTCATGAACCTTTTGATTATCATGAGGGATATTCTGTTCGAATTCTCCCATTTTTCATGCTTGGATCTCTGGCTCAAGTGCATCCTTTATTTGGCATTGGTGGTTCTTTAGTTCTTAGCGCCAAATCCATATCCATGACACTCAAAACTATCTCTAAATCCTGTTTCCACTTCTTATAGTTGACACCAGTGAGAGGTTCATGGAACTTGGATTCATGGCTGTAGTCATATAGAATGAAAATATTAATCTTTAATCCCCATCTTTATTGCAAAGACTCAACAATTTTAGATTGAGGAGTACGCGAGTAATTCTCTTAATCATACCACCTTCATCTCCAACGTATGAGTTTTCTGTAGTCATAAATAGAAACCTTTATGATTTATAAACTGACTTGATTCACACATTAATATATAAAGTGTTATGCCACTTCGAATCCAGCTGAACTTCTTTAGATTATCAATGTCTATGTTTCAAATCCTAGTGCCATTACTAATGTATATATATTGATATTGATAACACTTTTGTCAACACAGACATCCTTCTCTGTACTATATATAAGTTCTTTAATCTACAACACAAAACAATTCTTGATGTTTTCTTCTTAGTGTTAATTGGCATGTGAAAGCCTTGATACCAAATGTAAGATCAATATAAATAAAATCAGCGAAATAGAATAATTACAGTACCAAAAGTAACCACTAACCTGAAGAAGACATCTCTTGGAAAGTAGGGATCTTTTGCAGCTCTCCTCAACTGCATGCAATCACTCAATGAATGGGATATGAGTATTCTTTAGTTTGTGTGATTTAGAGAGCGCAAGGACCCTTGTTTTCTATTGCATACGATTATGATTGATAAAGACTCTTCCCATTATACAATCCTAATCAATATAACCTTATCATCGAGAAAACCTATCATTCACATCCATTATAAGTGTTTCAACACTATTGTGACTGTTTCAGCTGAAACCCCTATTATACAAATTCCCTACCAGCTTACAACCTTAGTTAATTCCAATCTCTTATATCCTAACGTCTCTAAACTAAAGATGATCAAGTGTTCAGCTCTCATTAGAACTTACAAACTAGTATTGCTACTTGCTAAATTGCATGATCAGTCAATCGATGTCACTACGGAGAAATTTTTTATTGTGACCAGAACATGAGTGGTACACCACGTGTTTTTATATAAGTGGTAGAAAATGTATTTTTTAAGTTATTAACTTTTTAACACACATATTTCACCATTTGTATAGTGACATATGATATACCATATATGGCCTAAAATAATCCCAAAAATTCTAGAGGCGACACTTGAACTTTTATTCAAGGAAGACAAGATTGCCCTCAATATATGGGCAGGTTTCTCAGATGCTCCCACGCGCAGCTCACATCCTTGGAGTTCCTAGCAGCTGAATACGACTGCCCACAACTCACATGCCCTTGGCAAGGAATTAAAGATAAGGATTAATTGCCCAAATCCTATCTTTAATACAAACCCAATTGAAAATTGACTTCAATCAAGTAAGTAATCCTAGGGATAATTATACCATTATCTCAACATATTATTTCCTATTTAATATCTTGGAATATTTAGAGAATATCTCTCCATTAAACACTATGGTCGGCCCTATCCCTATAAATACCCCATATTATGTCAAATTTCAGAGCTTTTGGCAACCCTAAAAAGGCCCTAAACACTTTACTCTCACAGAGAAACTAACTTAGCATCGGAGATTCGTTGACTTAACCCCCTACCTCGTGGGGGGGTGAGGCTTAGGTTTTTTATCAAAGGTGTTGATTGTTTTGCAGGTGCATTTTCGTCAAGACTAAAGACGGTGAAAATTTGCATCGACACATTTGTGCTTTCATTGAGAGCTGATTCGAGGTTGGGTCCACACTCCGATGAGCATTCAGGACATTTCGGGAGAAGCGTCCACAAGAAGCTAGGCCCACAAGGAGATACTCCTACGAGGTAACGGAGTAGGTAGCCGCATGACGCCGAGAAAAGCATGTGAGCAGTCCAACTCCAGTTCCACTGGCAGCCCTCACCAAAAGCAACGGTGAGCAGCACAGGGTGAGCCACATGCATCGCAATTGCAGCACAGACAAGCAAGACATACTGAAAAGCAACATGGACCAGCAGGTCAACACTAGGGGCAGCTAAAGGCTCCGCTGCCCCACCAGGCAAAAATCTAAAAGGAACTACAAACTTGATCAGGTCACCTATTACCACCGACAATGCCCTTCGTAGAGACGTGGCCAACCTGAGCAAGTCACCTATTACAGATGAGATAGAGCAGGCGAAGCCACCGCGAAAGTTCAGCTCGCCACATTTCACCTCGTTCAGGGGAGATGAAGATCCGGACAGGCTTTGATGCATTACCGAAGTGCCATGACCCTCTACACCAACAATGACGCTCTCATATGTAAGAGCTTTGCCACGATGCTCCAAGGATGCATAGCGAGACAAAGGGAAGGACGAAATGCGAGAAAGCATTATACGACTTGAAAAAGTACCTGACATCACCTCCCCTACTATCCAAACCGGAGGCAGCGGAGGATTAATGCATCTATATGGCGGTATCTAAAGTAGCAATAAGCTCTACCCTTGTACGAGAAGAGTTGGGGTCCCGACCACCTATATTCCACAGTTCACAAGTTCTCCTCGATGTGGAAGCCAGATACCCAAAAATCAAAACTTTGATTTTGACGCTAGTTGTTGCAACCCGGAAGCTCAAGCCATACCTTCAAACGTACGCAGTCATCATCATGACACAATATTCCGCACAGCCCAAATGCATGACATTAAAGGGGCAAAAATTGGCGAACATTTCGATGCGCGCAATAACTCAACCCAGAAATGCCCCATCTATCATCATATATGTATACTAATGCTTTTGTGCCTACTTGTGCTCTGGTTAATCCTGCTATTCCAATTAATCTTGTTCCTATATGAATCTGACTAAAATGTGATTTTCTCAAATGAGTAACTGCTTCTTTACTAATTAGATTAAGTGTGACTTCTTTATCAATACAGCTAACTTCACATTGACTGATGCTACTTACAATTCTACTTCTGTTTTCAAATAAACCTAATTGATACAAGTTATATTTATTTTTCTGTGTTCTCTCAAAACCTCTTTGAATAAATTATTGCGCTTCTTCTTCATTTGGATAAATATCTTCAGCTCTAACTACTTCTTTTCTTTTTTTCCTAAAGAGTTCCATTTTCTATTATCAAAAGGATTTAGCTTAGGTCTTCTAATATTATTAGTAGCACTTAAAGTTAAATTTACTAATTTATCTAGCAAAGATGGTGGAAGTGATGAAGATGCGTTATGTAAAACTTGGTTTATTTCTGCTATTTGTTCTTCAACTTGATCTAATTTTTCAGCCAAACTTAAAACTAGTTGAATAATCAAATTATTTTGCCTAATGGGAATATTACTACTGGATACTTGTGTTGAAAAATTTGTTAAACCTACTGGTTCTTTATCTAGCTTACTAATTTCTTTAAAAGCTTGGATATATTTTCTGCTAGTTCTAGAATCAGTCATTAAACTAATAATTTATCTATTTTATTATGTAACTTATCTACTTGTTCACTTAACTTTTTTTGTACTAATTGAATTTTTTGAACTTCTAATTTTAACTGCTCAACTATTTCTAATGATCTAAGTTCTATTTGCTTTGGCTTGCTATCTATGAGATCAACAAGCTCTTTTATCTCTTTTTTGCTAGGAAACCTTTGAATATTTTTATTATTATCTTCTAACTGAGATGTCATATAATCTAAATTTTGTCTAATTATTTTTATGGATTTTTTTTGAAAATGCTTTAACAACTAGTTTAACAAATGATTATGCTTATTATTTTCTAATTTTATATTTTCTGCTTGACTATTAATAAGATCTACAATACTATTGGCTTGCGGATTTTCTTCACTATGCAAAATATGATTATGTTTGCTCAATGGAAAATAACAAACTAAACTATTTTGGTCAAAGGTTATTTTTGTTTTTTGAGGTTCAATAATTTCTAAATTAAGATGATCTATCATGAACTACAGTCTACCTTTCTCTAAAGTTACTGCTAACTAGTTTCTTAGAAACTCTCTTTCTTCTCTCAAGGTCTCTAAAACTTGATCTGTTGCTCTTTTTGCTTCTAAAACTTTATGCTGCATTTTTGTGTTATTATATTTACGAATAAATGAAGGATGTTCAAGATAACCAAGATAAAACTTCTGCTTCTTCAAAGTACTGGTAATTCTTTTGGATATATATGCTAATCTTCTCTTTATACTATTTATAGTTGGATGTCTAGGACAATAAATACCTGGTGGTTGT